GAAAGTTTCTCAACGATCGGACGTTTGATAGGGTCTAAATACTAAGAATGGGCACATCGGGTATTTGAAAGCTAGGCTATTCGTGATAGGAGTAAACTAGTTCCTGGAGTCTTCTTCTGACCTTGAACAAGGGGGTGACCCCTAAGTTTTGGTAGACCAACCTTTTTAAGGGTCAGGTACTTGAAGACATGTTTATCTTTCTCCGAATTTCCCTTTTGATAGCTGATCAATGTAAAACAGATATTCTCCTCCATTTGCTTAAGAATCCCTGCTGGTTTTAAAGGGAATCTATCACTATTGGACATATGTCGTATTTTTTCCAGGAGGCGAAAACGCACATGGAGGTTCTGATTTTCCAATTGGTCCGAGGGTTAAACAGACATCAAAGTTGTGCCTATCTAGAGTCAGCAGCAGCCAGAGTCGACGAAATGTACCCTTCGGGCTAAGGCAGAAGGCGGTTCCTTTGCCCTCAAAATGACCAAACACCAGCGTCCAAACTTCCAGTTGCCATTTTAGTACCCTAGGAGCCCAATACCTGATTATTTGGGGGTCAGACACCCTCATATTTAGGGTCTTGGGCTCCTAGGGGTAGGTGGTTCGGTTCTACTTGGTCGGTAGAATCAAGAGTCAATGGATTTGGAGTACTCAGAGTTGGTTCCTTTCGATTGACATTCCCAAAGACCGACTCTTTACCCTAGAGTCGAGTCGCAACTCTTTGGACGAAGGCTTCCTGAGCTCCGTTTAGGACTCAGTCACTCGTGGGGTTTGGATGCCATTTTAGTGCTAAACAAACATGTTTTGTTGCTTGTTTTGGCCTATCCACTCGTTAAGTGAGTCGAGTCAAAGTGTCCATGCTGTGGGGATTAGATAGGAGGGGCATGGGGACTCACATCTTTTTCCTCAAACACAAGATTCACTAAAGGGGGTTCATCAAAATTATGTTCGGCCCGACCCCCAAATGCCATGGGTAACTTTTCAACCATTTAGTGGCCATAGGACATATCACTTGTTTGGTGGTTTTCGTTCCAATGGTCATCACACTTCACTGTTCTTGGCATGTTTTTTGGTTTTTAGTTTTTTGGTTCTGTTCATTTTTACTGGGGGTCTGCAAAAAGCAAAGTTTTTTCGCTACCATACCAAGAGTAGAGATGCACATGTAAAGAACCTTTGTGATCACCAAATGTCGACTCTTCCGGGCAGTTGGGCCAACGGATGCTGCCATAAGTTGGAGGTTTCGAGGAAACCTGCGATGCGGTTTGTTTACCTTTGCTTCCTTTTCATATAGCTTACTTGTGTCCCATAACCTGGGCTTCCCCATAACCCCCAAAAACTGAGAACTCTCTGTTTTTCCTAGCCCCCCACACGAATTCTACCTGGAGTTTCCATGACCCTCAAAACATGGTCGGTCATCTATGAAAGAAGCTAAGGGGTCATGACCCTTTTCGCAAGGGTCAGAATCGAAAGGGTGCCTAGAGTCTCCGTGACCCCTAGAAAAAGTGTTCTTTTACTTTTTTGGGGGGAGGGCTCCCCTACTAAAATCGACTACAGACAAAAGGGTACCCTTATTCCAACCTCTCTACTGGAGGACCTAGGAAAGAACGGGGAAGCTACCGGTAGAACCATTTTGTGCGGGGCGGGCTCCCAAAAAGAGACGAGCCACAGTGCGATTTTTTTGATCAATCGGCCGTGGATCGATGCCAGGTCTCTCAGCGGTCCTTTGGAAGCCAAGATCTCCGAGACCCGGCAGCATGCCCTTCAGAGGTTCTTCTTCTTCTTCTATTTTTTTCAAGGGATCCAAAAGCAGTAAACAAATAATCAAAATGAATAAACAACATGGAGCCGTCGTTTTCCTGGTTCCCCTCAAAACCACCAAAGAAGGGGTTCAAAGAAGACAGCGTATGTCTTTCTTTGGAGGTGTTTTTGGGGCTCGGAAGGGAACTCAAAGGAAACCACGCACTCATGGGGGTACCCATGGTACGGGTATTTTTCTCGAAGGGAACCACAACATGGGCTTTGAGAAACCCCATGGGTTGCCGAGGCTTAAGCAAGAGGGTGCTTTTGAAAAAAACAAGGAACCGTTTGGGTGGCGAGTATTGGGAAGCCAAGAGGAAAACAACATTTTTTTTACGGGACTCCCGCGTTTGAGAACCAACCATATGTGCCGTTGTCAAAACTCCCGAAATTGCTGGCCATGGTTCCCTAGGTCCCCCAAGTAGTGCCCTTTTCCCCCTTTTTTGGGGGAGGGTTCCCCTACTAAAATAGACTACAGAAAAAAGGGTACTGCACCCTTATTCTAACCTCTCTACTGGAGGACCTAGTTCCCGTTGTCTTTTCCTTGGCATGGTCTACAGCTTGCCACCTTGGCGGACATGGGAGTTGATCAATGTTCCCGTGCGGCCTCCGGCCATGACCAGACCTAAACTCTCCATGACCCTTAAACAATGGTTGGTCATTATCCAAAAGAAAGATTCGGGTCATGACCCCATTTTCTAGGGGAAGGTGGTCGTTTTTGAACGCGTGTTTTGGCTCGTTTTTGAACGCGTGTTTTGGCTCGTTTTTGAACGCGGTTTTGCTCAAGTGTATGTGATTTACAGCAGCACGGCCATTTTTCCAAGTGTCCATGCACACCACGATGAGGCGCACGAACACGCACCACGATACACGTGTAGCACATGGATGGCGCCGTGCTTTTGGGAGACGATCGTCAACTGTAGACCCGGGAACACAAAGCACAAGGAACGCAAAGCGACATCATCATCATCATCATCAACAACATCAACATCATCACCACCACCATCATCATCATCATCATCATCATTAACAACATCATAACCATTATCAACATCAACGTCGACATCACCATCATCATCGACATCATCAAAGTCATCGCCATCGACATCCTCATCGCCAACATCAATATCATCATCGTTAACATCATCACCATCATCATCAACATCATCACCGTCATCGAGCATCATCACCATCATCATCATCAACAACATCATCATCATCATCCTCATCAACATAATCATCATCATCATCATGATCATCATCATCATGACCATCATCATCAACATCGTCATCATCACTACCAACAACACCACCATCACCACCAGCGCGCAGTCGCACGGTCACGCAGTAAGCGGCGAACGTAACTGCCCCACCCCATCCCCCCCCCCCCCCAGGAACGCAGTCGCACGGTCACGCAGCAAGAAGCGAACGTAACTGCCCCACCCCCCCCCCCCCCCCCAGGCCCAATACGCAGTTACGCCGCCACGCAGTAAGCGGCGATCGCAATTTCAGGAGGCTCCGATTCGCAAGTTACTTAGGCCGTATGAGCTAAGGAGGTTGCTTGTGTCGCGAAGACAAGATGACTCAGAGCTTGAAATTTCACGAGTTTTCACGGCTTTCTCACGGAGAAGTAACGGCCTTTCAGTTTCCCGCGCGAGTTATGGCTTTACGGGGGCCAACGAGCGCAAGTCGCCGAGGACATCTTTGCTCAAAAAGCCAAGGTAACTTGGGACCCGGAGCCTCCTGGAATTGCCCCCTTCCCCCAGCCCCAGGGCGCAGTTGCACGGGCACGCAGTAGTAAGAGGCAAACGTAACTGCCCCACCCCACCCCCCCGCCCCCAGCCCCAATGCGCAGTTCCACCATCACGCAGTCAATTACCCCCTTCCTCCAGCCCCAGGATGCAGTCGCACGCAGTAAGAGGCGAACGTAACTGCCCCACCCCACCCCCACCCCCACCCCCAGGACGCAGTGGCACGGTCACGCAGTAAGAGGCGAACGTAACTGCCCCACCCCATCCCCCCCCCACCCCACGGGTGCCGCAGGATAGACCCCCCATGTGTTCGAAAATGACCCACTCTGTGTTCGAAAATGATCCAGCACATCGGTGTTCGAAAATGATCCAAAATCGGTGTTCGAAAATGATCCCCCTCCCATTTTCTAGGGGTCACGGAGACTCTAGGTAGTGGGAAATATCACGTGTTTGGTGGTTTTCCAACCAATGGTCATCCCATACTTAGCGGACCTTTTGATCAACCCCAGCATGAGCATCGGTCAACATTTCCCGATCTGTCTATGGTCCATTTGGGAGGGGCTCTCGGGTTCTCACGAGAAATTGTCCGCACTCTAAAGTGACGAAGTTGTTCTTTGCTTGGCAGTCCCCAGCAATACCCTTCCACTTTTTTCAGGTGTTCAAAGCGAATCGACCGGATCTGACCTTTTATTTTTTCCTTTTTGGGTTTATCCATATTTTGTCATGGTCCACAGGTGATCACCTTGTACTTCTGGGTCCCCAAGGGACTGAGTTTTAGCTGTTTGGAGTCTCTGCGGGCAACCTCGCATACTATGAAGAACCACTATTTCCATTTGAGCCCTATTGCATGGTATTTTTCAGCCAAGTTGGATCAACCGACTTAAATCGTCTAGCCCTCGCGATCCACACGCAGAAAAAATTGGCCGCGCGTTTCATCCAGACCATCTCACCTGCAGCAGTGCACTGCTTTCCTTTGTTTGTTTCAAACGGGCTTACATTCGACATGAACCAAGAGAAAAGAGTGTCCTTGTTTCCCACACGTTGAAGTTGTTTCACACAATTGTTGAACATACTAAAATGTGGGAAAGGAAACAAATTACAGACAATACATGTAGATGAAACCAATGCAATGTGGATGAGTTAAATCTAAACGCATACACACATATACACTGGAGATCCGGGTACAAGCAACGGACAATGTTTATGGGTAGCGGTTTTGGGTGGTGCCACTTGCTTTCGGCTTACGTGAATCGGTTTTGGGTGGTGCCGCATTGGTTTTGTTGTACTAATACATTGTCACTTGCAGGCTTACGGGTATTGGTGTATTGGTTTCGGGCGGCGCTGCATCGGACAAATACTGTTGGCTGCTGATGTGACTATGAATTTTCAGAGTTGGCACGTTTGTATATATCTTCTGTAGCTGGTTTCTTAGAATATCTGATAGACTTTAATGCCCCAACTCAATCGTGTCCAGTCAAGGTCACCCATTTATGATTCATGCCCGCATTCCCTAGCTGGCTGGAATTCAGGAGCGACTGGTCATCAATTGGATGGATGATTTATCATTGACGAGCATTGACATGGGAAGTTGCCCAGCATTGGCCTGTTAATGTTGACCCAGGATTAATAAACCCCCCATTATTACGGGGGTGTTCCCTCCAAAAGTGATGAATCCCCACTTAAAGGGACACCCCCCTATCAACCAGGGGTTTATTAATTCGGGGTTAACATTACTTAGCAGACAACAAGCACTACTGCATTTTCGTCTCGAGTCTCCGTGACCCCTTGAAAAAGGGGTGATGACCCCTTTCTTTTGGGCAATGGCCCAATTTTTTAAGCGTCATGGAGAGTCTAGGTAGGGGTTTCTCCTGTTTTGTGAAATCGAGTTCCTAGACGAGGAAGAGTCCAGGGTTGTGGTTGATCGCTCGGGGTTTCTCCAACCACTGTGATACTTTTGGAAACCCCCCGTTTCTATGAACAAAATCGTCTTTGGGAAGCCGTTTTTTTTTCTCCAACCACTGTGATACTTTTGGAAATCCCCCCCGTTTCTATGAACAAAATCGTCTTTGGGAAGCCGTTTTTTTTGTTGTTCTTCTCTTTTTTCTGTTGAATCACGGAAGTGGATTCCATTCCCCACAGGTTTGAGGAAGAGCATTGGGTGAACAATTTTGGGCTGGTGGCCCGTCCACTCGTTGGGAACTGCGGTGAGCACAAGTCATCAGCCGCCTCGCAACCGCAAGGAGTACCGCCTGCAATGGGTTCAGCAGGTGCGATGGGCCGATGGGAGGTGTGGTATGTCCAGGATACATCCACAAACCTGCGCAAGAGATTCCTCATCAGCTGGCAACATATGGCCGTGGCTCAAAAAACCGGAATTCCAAAAATGGATCCCTGGTAAGTGGAAACATGGACCAAAACCTGCGTAACCCCTCCTGTTTAATTTTGAGCCACACCCATATGATTTTACACTTGGCCAGAAGGTATCCTTGAAGGGGCCTTTTTGAGCACTGCCCAGACCTCCACTCGTTTCTTAATGTTCTAAGATGTCATTTCAACATTGGCCAGCCGTGCAAGAAGGTCCTTTACAAACTTCAAGGGTCCTTGTGTCTTGGCTGGCCGATGTTGAAATCAAACCAATGCTACTTTGCTTTGTAAGGACCCTCTTTCGGTTTCTGCCGGAGGGCTTCGTGGATTTTGAACAAGGGTGCGACCCGCCTACCCGGGTGAAGGGAGTTTTTAGTAGGGCACCACCCATCATAAAAAGCCTCCATTTTCCTGCTTCGTGTAGTCTCCGACTGCAAAGCATGGTACTTTTTTGGGTGTAGACACATTTTGAAGAGACTCTAACCATGCCGGATGGCCAAACCCGACATCTCCTCCAAATTCGTTTCATGTTTTCAGGTGGACGAAACATGAACCACTGCTACTTTGGCCCTTGAGAAGAACTTTTCAAGACCTCTCTTTTGACTCCTTATAAGGGGTCCATGGCTCCACTATAGGGTATATAGATGTTGCCATGGACGCGAGCCTGCACCACTTTGAAGCCAGGGCGAAACCATTGTTGTTCGGGATCGATTCAGAAACCAGGGTTTCTGCTTTCGGTGGTGCGATGCGTGGATTTTGCAACCGTGCACAGCAGGGTTGGGGGATCAAGGGGTTTATCCCCACTCCTGTGATACAAGGGAATTCCCGTTTCTATGAACAATTTAGTCTTTTGGGAAGCCCTTTCTGTTGTATCATGGAAGCCCGTACCCCCAGTTTTTGCAGCCCAATCCCCACTAAGATAGACTAACATGGGTGGTGCACCTAATGTCGGCACTTGATTAGTAAAGGGCCCCCCCCCCTCAACAATAGAGGCGCTAGAAAAAAGTAGGCTCACTTCTGGGACGCCCAAACAATGGAGGGTTTTGGGGTCCAAATCTACTTTAGTATTACAGCCACTTCCTTTTTGCAATTCTACTTTAGTATTGCAACCACTTCTTCCTGAGCATACTTTTTGGAATACTACTTTAGTATTGCAGTCACTTCCCTTTCGGTTCTTTCTGTAGCCATTCAAAGGGTGGGCCTTTCAGCCAGGGAGGCCTTGAGCTTGAGCCAGGGAGGGCTGGGCTAAAGTGTTAACCGTAGGTGGTCGCTTGTCTTGACTCTTTGTAAGTATCCACTTGGGCCGCCATTTTGGCTCAAGTGGACACTTCCCTTTTGTCTTGGAATCTGAAATTTCTCATTCCCCTCCTATCAAAGCCATGTACACCCCCGCCTATGCTGGTGCCGCGGTCGCAGAGGCTAAGGCGAAGGCGAAGGCATCCATGGCGAAGTACCTGGCAAGCCTTGTGAAAAAGGAGGAAGAAGGTTGGACCGTCCTGGCGGCTGAGGTCCCTCAGGCACCGGACGAACGGTTCTTCTCCAGCGCCGACGAGCTGGAGCAAGCCCCACTCATCCCAGCCAAGCGTAAGGCCGAGGACGAGCTGATGGCGGACTCCCCCCCTGGGGTGGCGCAGGTGCCGAAGGCCCTGACACGCCCCCCAGGGGCGTTCCTGGAGCTTCTCGACCCTCCAGAGCCGGATGTTCCCATGGAGGAACTCCTGGCGGAAGACGAGGAGGAGCCCCCGATGGAGGAACCCCTGGCGGAAGATGAGGTGGACCCCCCGATGTCCGACACCAAGTGGCAGGGACGCCAGGACCTTATGGAAAAGGCCAGGGCGCAGGTGTCCTCGGAGGGGGATGAGGACCCCGCAGCCCCCCCGCCAGGGGGAAGCGTCTTCACCAAGGCCCTCAAAGTCTCTGAGGGCCTTTACCAATTCAGTGCGGACCAGATGGCGGGCGACTTCCCGTGTTTTGATGGGACCACGGCCGCCAGGCTCCGACGACTGCAGGCCAAGGATGTCCAGCGGCTCTTGAGAGGCTTTGAGGGCCCCCAACTCAAGCAGGGGGGCCTGGAGCGCGTGGTGGAGGCGTTCTACATCGCCAAGATGAAGTATGAGCATGAGGCCCTGCTCAGCACCCCGGGACAGAAGGTTGGCAAGCGCGCTGGCCTGGGGTATGGGGGCCTTGAGAACCGCCCCCTGGGTAAGGAGCCCACATCCTGGATCTGCCCCTGCTGCACCATGCCCTGGGTGAAGAAGGGCGCCAGGAAGTGTATGGGGTGCGGCAAAAAGACGGAGCCCATCGACACGGCGTCCAACTTGGCCACCCTGGAAATGGCGGGCACGCACTGGCAGCTGACAGTGGATGACCAGGGCAATGCGGTCTGGACGGCGGCCCGGTCCGCAGGTGCCGATGGCCCTGACACGGACCGGGCCCGCGACCTCAAGCTCAGCGCCTCGGTGGATGTCAGCGAGCTGGCCACCGACCCAATGGCATGCGAGAACCTGGACCAGGCCAGCTTCTCGGATTTTGTCCCCTCCTCGGTCCGGGCGGTGATCAGGAACTGCCCCATGGAGCTGGACGAGGATTTCCTGACGGCCCCAATGGGGGAAAGGCCCCCGTTGCCGGGCGACAAGGAAGAGGGCCAGGAGTGCAGGGCCTTCCACCCGTCGGCAGTGAAGGCCTTCAAAATCCAGACCCGGCTCAACGCCACCACCATCGCCCAGGAAGAGGCAAAGAAGGCAGACCAGGTGGCAGCGGTGGAGCGATCTGCGGCGGTCCTCCACGAGCTCCAAGGAGGGGCCATCGATGGAGGAGGCGATGGGGGACAACTCCTCAAGAATTTGGACTTGGACCTTTTCCGCGAGAAACTGCTGGATAAGCTGGGCGCGGACTGGGGGAGGCCCACACCGGAGCTCCTCCAGGCCCAGACCACTGCGGAAGAGGCGAAGGCAAAGCACCAGGCCAGACAAGCGAAGGGCGCCCTCGAGACCAGAATGCTCGAGCCCATCAAGCCTCCATTCAGTGCGTGGCCTAGCGAGATCCGAGTTGCCATTGAGACAGGGGTCTTTGAGCCGACCACGGCATGGAGGGATTTCAGCATGGACGACCTCACGTCCCTCACGGACTCCTACCTCGAAGCCAAGGCGGTCATCTCGCTGGGTAGGAACCCCTTTCCGGGGGCCCTCCTGGCAGATCTGCCGGATCTGGCGGGGATCCCCATTCCAAAGGCGGGGGGCTCTGGTGCGGCGCGCCCAGGTGCCGAGGGCCCTGACAGGCAGCCCACCATCCCCCCAGCTTCGGGCTCTGGTGCGACGAGCTCAGGTGCCGAGGGCCCTGACAAGCCGTCCGCCACCCCGGGGGGCCTGGACACCCAGGACCCGGAGGTGCAGCTCGCGGTCCTGCGCTGGATGATGAGCAAGCGTGTCGGAGAGGTCCGCATCTTTGCGGGCCGCTGGGTCCGACGACCGGGGCCCGTACACGTCCCGGACTGGGCCAACAACCTCACCAAGGTGAATCCGGAGGCGCTGGAAAAGGGTACGCATCCCAGGAACCACCAGGCGGGTGGACTCCCATGGGCCAGGTACTCCGTTGAGGAGCTGAACCAGCAGGCCAAGGCGGGGGACCGACCATACCCCGAGGACCTGCGATCCATCTTCTGGGCGGCCCCCCACGATCCGGAGGAGGACTTCCACTGGACGCGCCAGATCTCGTCCTGGACACTCCCAGGCTTGCTGGGGATGTTTGGTCACAGCTTCACTCTGCGCCAGCTCTGGGGAGTCTGGGAGTCTCTGCCATTGCTTCAGGGCCCTAGGCAGCGGGGCCCGAAGAACAAGGCCCAGAATCAGATCCGCCTGGAAGGCTGGGAGACCCTGAAGGAAGATGCTCGGTGCTTCCTGAAGGAGGAGGGCCTTCCGCTTCCGCAGACAGGACCGGAGTGGCGCCTGGTCTACCGGGCCATGGGCAAGGTCCTTGCGGCCCGGGCCTTCCTCACGGACACCCCGGCGGAGGTAATGCAGCTCCCGGTCCAGGACGTGGCGGACTCCAAGGAACAGATGATCCTCCGGGCGGTATGTGATGAGCGCATATCGGTCCCGGTGGAGAGTCTCCAGCAGTTCCCAGAGGTGTACCAGGCCCTCATGGACCGCATTGGAGGCCCGGGGGCCCTGGCGGAGGTGAAAGTCAACTGGCGCTGCAACACGAAGCAGTGGTGGGTCGGCGCAGTCCCCGACTCAGTGGCCCCCTCCATCTACCGCAAGCTCGGCTACACCAACGACATGATCAAGCTGATGGGCCTGGACCCCTCCGCCCCCGGGTGCCGGACAGGTGCCGATGGCCCTGACATCCGCCCCAGGGGAGGAGAGGGCGATGAGGGGATCGTCTACCCCCCCATCACATCGGACAACGTCCACGGCGTGGTGGGCAAGGAGTACAAGAAGAAGAACTTCTCGGCAGAGACGAAGCACGTCTTCTGGGCGCACATGGAGTGCGGCCTGGTTCTGAGCTCAGTCACCCCATGGGAGCTCATCCCCAAGACGAAGGGGGAGACCCGGGGGGGCTATATGTGCAAGTACTGCAAGGGGTACTGGCGCGCCGGGGGAGGGGGCACTCGCCTCCTCCAGATCCGGGCCGGCAAGGCCATCCTTCAGCTGGTGCTGGACGAGCCGCCCGATGGACTGTACAACCGCTGGGTCAAGGAACGGCTGGAGTTCTACCGCCGGGTAGAGCCGTCTGCCCCGCTGCGGGATGTCTCCGTGGTGGACCAGAAAGTCCCACGATTTAGGTTCAGCCACGTCACCCAGACCGGCCATGTCTCAGATGCCATCTGGGAGCTGATTCTCCGGAACCCGGAGGCGGCGGCGCTCAAGCGCATTGACGACATTGCCAAGGGGGCCGTGTGATC